TGTTGGATGACTTTTATACCTATTAACTCGGTAAAATATTTTGCACAGATTGAATAGACATAAAACTAGTAGATCTAGCTGGCACTGTGCAAATCGAATTGTTATTTCTCTTACACTTAATCCATTTCACTGCATGAAAAAATATGCTCATGGCAAAAGTAAATGACAAAAAAAACATTAAAAATTTGCTTCACATCGAATGAACTTTTTTACCACCAGTGACTCATCGTACTAGTATTACATCTATCCTATATTTTTTGAATTTTTCGATGAAATGAACTCGTATCCTCGGTATCTGTAATGTATCGTGCGTATCGTACGGATCGGATGGATCGCCATCGTATCCTCTGGATTGTATGGATTGTCACGTATCCCGGATAGATGGGATCCGCTTTTCCCCGTTGGTTTTTATCGTATCTGTTTATTAAAAGTGTGAGAAGAATTAAGTATAACTGTTTTTGGATGACTTTTTCTTTTGATATCGAAGAGATTTTTTCTTATCGGCAAAAAAAGGAATTTTCGCATAAAATTAGTAAACTTTAATTTTTAGATTTAATAATAAAATGTCTTCTAGCTCTTCATCGGCAAGGAAATGTCCACTATGTTTTAAAAGTATTCTTGTGAAAAATTTTAAACGACACTGCAACAACACTCACAATACTATTGATAATAAAGAAAAGTGTAAAAAATAATTTTTTAAATTTAAAGGAGACATCAGCATGCAAGTACGACAATCACCAACTTCAGGTTATATTATTCATTTTCAATAACCATCTGATAGCATTATATTTCTAGAAACAAGAATATCAAATGAACCTTTAACATCAACACCATCAAATGAATCAATAATAGATACAAGTGAAGTACCAAATGAATCATCGTTAGTAACACCTATAGTGGTGCTTGAAGAACACGAAATCTCATATTATCGTCAATCTGATGTTGAAATAAAGAATAAATTGTGTGGAGAAATTCAATATGTCGTTAAACAAGCTCAACTAGCTTTTAAACTTGTTGATATGGCTTTTGATGAAACAATTAGTACGAGAAATTTGTTAATTGAACTAACATCATCAATTGATAAATTGAACGAATCATTAACTGATTTATTAATTTCATGTAACGAAGAACTTGAACGAATGCCACTTACATCAATAACTATCGAAGAATTAAAATCAACAGAAAATTTTGTGTCTCGTGATCCATCATTAACGAAAGTTTATAATGATCAAGAACTACGATATTTAGTTAGTCAAGGTCCATGCCAACCTATTTTATCACAGTATCCGATTAAGCAAGCATATAGGGAAATTCATGATATATGTCATTTTAATCCAATGTGATACAAGGAATTTCCATTAATAGAATATAGCATTTTAACTGATTCAATTTATTGTTTTTGTTGTCGTTTATTTGCCAATGGATCTGGCACTGAACGATTATAAAATGCTTGGACATCAGCTGGTGTGAAAACATGGAATAAAATGAAAGGGTTTTTAATAGTCTGTTCAAAAAATGTTTTCATTAATCGTTGACTCATTTTTTTTATTGCAGGTAGTCAAAGTGCTGGAAAAAGAGAAAAATATACGTGCACATCGAAAGTGAAGCTCACAAGTTTTCATTACAACGTTATTTGATTTTCAAAGAACGTAAAAATAATGTTGATTATATATTAAATAAAAACCTACAACAACAAGAACAACAACAGATCGAACAACAAAAATCCTATCAACAAATCATTGAAATGTTAATTGATTGTGCACGATATTTAGCTCGACAGTGTCTAGCACAAGGGGGAAAAAGCTGATTTAAATCACAGTAAAACTCAACTTACAATCAATATAAATTAACTGTATTGGAATGAGTTTGCGTGAGTTTCGGTGCCTTTGAATGATTTTAAGTAATAATTTATGATTTGGAATAGTTTTTAGTTGGTTTAGCAAATTTTTCGTTTTCTCAAACTCATTTTAAATCAGCTAAACTCAGAAAAATCATGAAACTCAAAAATCGCTTTTCCCCCCTTGGTCTAGCATGTTGTGGTCAAGAAGATCAAGATGGTAATTTTTATCAATTAGTTCATTTATTATCCCGACACAACTCAGTGTTGGAAGATTGGATAAAAAATATAAATAATCGTCCATATAAAGTAAATATATTACTACTAATCTCTTCTTCTAAATTAGCAAAGTAATAAACTTTTCGTTCTAGGTTAATTATATGAGTAAAGATTCTCAAAACGAATTTATACAGCTATTAGGCGATTGTGTGCAACACGAAAATTTATGTGAAATAAAAGAAGCTTCCTATTATTCAATCATGGCTGATTCTTCAATAGATTCCATTCGACAAGATATGTTATCTATATTTATTCGTTTTGTCAACAAAAATGATGAACCTGAAGAGTGTTTTGTGTCGATTAATAAAAAAAACATAATTGTCTCTCTAATAGCACTATTTACTACATTATATATCATCATCCTCACAGCATGAGCAGTCATAGAAATTAAAGAATTTCATTAATTGCAATATATTTAAAAACCAAGAAGTGAAATAGTCGCAAATAAATTTCGAATATCATTTCCATGTAATGTATAAAATAATTACTAGACAAATGCCAAAATGAAGATAGAAAACCAATGTAGGCATTGAAAATAATGAAATCACTTTAAACTATCTCTGAAAGCAACCGACGATAATCGTATTCTTTATATTCTAGATTTTAAAATAGAATATTTCGAATGAAATTGGCATAAGATGGGAGCAGCGCATCGTCTGCTATTACATTTCGTAAGACGGAAGAAAAATATCAGAAACTCACAATATCTCTAGGAAAACATGCAACTTGGTTTTTGATACGTCCAATCACTTTTGTGTCTTTGTTTTCTTACTTCAGCGGTGAAGACTTAGCAGTGAAACAATTTTATCGGGAGTTTGGTGTTAGATTCAAAAATCCTAGATCTACCATATTTTTTTCTAATTGCTTAATAAATAATTACCTAATCCTCAATCTGCTTTGCTCTCAGTTTCATCACATCAGTCGAACCGTGATTCTTATTCGATTATCTTCAGTGACAATATCTACAACATACAATCAATTACACGGAGAACGCTTTAGGTGTAGAAAATGATGACAAAATCTGTAATATTTTATCTTGTTCCAGTTCTCATATCACAATCTATAAACTGAAATAGTGAAATATTTTTGAGCTAGATAAGAAAACCAACTGTCTGACTTCATCTCTCATATAGAAGAAAAGTATACAATGATCAAATCAAGAATGTATTCTAGTAGAAGTTCCAAGAAGGTCGATCGTATTGATATATCTAAGGTGTGGCACTTTCTTCAGGATAACTATCAATAGTAGGCTGTTCAGTTGGCTTCTTGTTAACTTTTTTCTTTAATGAATCCAATGAAGTCTCAGGTTCTTTAGTGAAAACTGGGCCATAATTATTCTTGTCCTTTTTCTTGCGATATAGGTACACAGCAGAGGCGATGGCTATTGCGACAAAAATTAGTAAGATGGCGACGACGACAATAATAATGATGATAGTGACAATTTGTCGAAGTTTGCTAGTAGTTTCTTTTGTATCCAAAGCTGAAAAAGCAACGTGAATATGTCATGAATAATATAATAGAAAAATACGAAGATTTCTCATCATATTAACATCGCATTTAGTCAACAAATAACAAATAGAATATTGAATCGATTGAGGATGTACATGTGTGTGACTTATCGCCACTAACTGATGTCATAGTCGAATCATAACCTTAAGTTACGCACTAATGCTACACAATTTTCCGGAATATATGAACTGACTATATTTTATTGTCTCACAGAACCAATTCGATGTAAATTTCGACTGAAAAATCGTCAGAGTAGCTCTATCATGAACTAAAAATTTCGATACTCGAGACTGAGTAAACAATAATTGGCAGACTTCAGGTGAAATATCCTGTCACTCAAAGCTATCCGATAAGCACAGTCAAAGTGTAGGAGACAAACATACATCACGAAATGGTTCCTTTTTAAAAGTACAGCAAATTTCAGTTTTTATTTTTTCCTTTACCTACATCAGTCACAACTCAACTGATCTCATATCAGGCCTTATATTTCATACTCACACGCAGACAGTTCTACATGTATACCACTACGCTCATTCTCACTTACATATATAAACAAAGATGGTATACTTAAGCCAATTAGAGACTCACTTTTGGTATTGCAGAAATGGCTTGAGCAACATTCGATACGACCCTTGAAGAAGGCGCCACCATATGATACATAACCCAGTGGTTGACTGACGCAATCCGTAATAAAAGTACGTAGAGCGAAGGCTGGATAGGTTTTGCCGGTGACAGAATCTCGTCCCTCGAGACCAATGATCGTCTTAGAAATATTAATTTCGATATAATAACATGGTTTCTTTTAAACTACTTACAGCACACGCTTCCCTATTACCGGATGATCCTGCTTCATAAACGTTTGGACTAGATTTATTGAAAATCATGCAACCCTCTAAACCATTTACACGCGAGTCGCATGTATAACACTGAATATGTACACCTTTAATCGCACTGTCTATATGGCCTGTATTGCATTCTGGAGAGTTACAACAGAAAACATCCGATTTGCTTAATTCTGAGACGAGTTGGGCGACGTGTGATTCCTTAATAGTTGGTCGACAGCCCTTTTTGTAGTACTTGTAGGTCTCGTGACCAAGTGTAATCTATTTAAAAGATTTGATAATGTTAAATTTCAACCGATATCTAGGTTTTTGAAAGCTCCTATCGAACGACTCTTTTCAACATCATGCATTTGAAATTAATTCTTCTAAGTGAAAATTTTGATATGCAGAATTTGCTACGATATTGGTAAGAATTCTTTTCATATATTGCTGTTGAAATGCTTAGGAATTTGCAAATCTACAAGTTTTGAGAAACGGCACGATCTACTGTGTCCTGAATTCAGTTCGTGTGAATGTTTCCATTTCTGACTCGAAGCATTCATCTCTAACTGAGAACTACAAGAAACGTTTGAAAAAAAGTAAAACAATTGAATCCACAGGACAATATATCATCGAAAAAGTATCGAATTCAGTTTCCAAACGCAAGAAATGCCACAAAGACCGAAATTGAAAATATAACTAGAGAATTTTAAGAGATTTTACTTGTAACAAAGAGACCATAAAAAAGCAATGGCCGTAGTTCAACTTTGTTGCCATATTCCAGTAAACGACGTACACAAAAGCTTTTTTCTGACCACAAGCTTTCATTATCATCATGGCATCCCATAAAAATCTTCTTTCATTTCTTTGCGAAGATGCAATATCGAAAGCATACTCTTTTTCTACGAAATCAGTCAATATGTCTTGGATTTAGATATCTACTGAAAAAAATGAGATTTAATTATATCGCGCGATAGTCATCCTTACTTTTGCCAGTTAGAACATGTCTCGTAGGAGTATGGTAGATGACTGGTCACACTTAAACATATACTCAACCCCTATAGGAGAAACTGAATATTTCAAATATATCGTATTCGTTATCAACTACTATACGGAGAATGATCTTATATAGTGATAGATTTCATAAGCGATTGGCAAGAACCCGAAAAATAGTGTAAACCTAACTACAATCCATACTGATCGGGCCTATTTTTTTCTATTGAATCTAATACATATCTTCAAAATGTTGTCAAAAGTATTCTTCAGATGTTTCATAGTATCATTCTCCTACTTCAACTATATTTGGCGGAACAATATCTTATCACGTGTTTCAAAATGAGTAAGAGTATCTAATTTGTTCAGGAACTAGGAAGTGACAAACGAAATTCTTCCATAGGTAACTCGTCAAACCAAATAACATAATTAAACAATTGATGAAAAATATGTTTCACTCTCAACTAGAACCTTGATCTTCAGTTTCAACAATTTCAGTTGTTGACAATTAGTTGAAGAAAATAAAAATGAAATTTTACTAACCGAACAAGATTCAGTTGCACTGCTAAGAGTAGTAACATAGTCAGCATCATAGACACATATTCCGTGAGTCATTTTGCATTTACCAATATCACATTTGAGAGAAGTGAATGCAGGCAATGGTGGAGAAGCCAGAGTATTGCAAAAATCTTCATTACAACAGAATTGGTATGATGAACTGCGACATTCGTGCGATGGCACTAAGCTCCGAGTCGTCAAGCCTTCGTGAGTTACAGATATCTGAATGACAAAAGATTGATTAATAGTATTCATGATATATGTTGATGCATAATACGATCATACGAACCGAACATGAAGAAAGTATATCAGTTTTCCTAGATTTAACTATTTTAACTTTAGTCGAGTTTGGCGAAAATAAAATACCACATTGTTCTCCTCCACTACAAGAATAGCACTCTAAAGTTTGACTTGTTTGAATACCTGTTAAATAGCATGAGAAAAGTTTCATGAAATTTAATGTGCGTTGTAACTTACAATGAAGCAATGCCAAGTAAAGCACACTAAATCGTATCATCATTCGTAGAGTTTGTTTCTCACTGTTTTGTTGTTCTGTTTTTTTCTTCGTTGACTAAAATTGTAGAAAATGGCACTCATATTGATTTAAGTGCGTATGTGTTGATTAAATATAATAAGATGCGTATATGAAACATTAGCCTTTCAAAAGGTACATATGAGCATACATGTAAAAGCTAAAAGTTGAATTCAAGTTGATAGTGTGGCACTATTACCTTAATGCGGCATGTTTTCTTAACTTTCCTAGACGATTCTCATCAAAAACCCTTGTCCAGGCAACGAACAATTTATTGTGGAGTGTATTTATCAGGATAAAAAGAACCTTAAGTCTGGTCGATACGGGAACTATCAGTAATTTCACTGCTGTAATTTCTAAAGTCAATTGTATAATGAATGGAAATGGATTAGCACAGGAGCAAAGTCATATTGATTGAGTTTTTACTTGGTAAACATGAGTTGAAAAATGAACCAGAATTTTTCTCCATTATTATAAATTCAAAAATACTTTAAGTAGTGCATTATAATACCTTCAGCTTTGCTGGCGGTATATAAACGTTGACTATTCTGATGTTTCAACTATTTTTATCACTCTCAATAAATACTGTAGTGTCTCAAAAATATAAAAATCTCACAGGCGAAATTTTAACTTTATATGAACCATACGAAAATGTCCTTCACCTAAGCGTATCTACAAGACACATCGGGATGCGTTTTCATTAAGTTTGAAAATTGCACAGTAATTTGCACGAAAAATTGCCATTAAATGATGTTGCTGATAAATCACAAGAAGATTTCAATATATGATAAAGAAAATTGCTACTCAATCAGCAAGCAAGACTGTAAGAAAATATGAAAATAGAGAAGTTAATGTATGATTTTATATTGTATCTGTAATACGAACTAATTATTCTAGATTTTTGTTATGAATAAAACTTTCATCACATTCGTCATTTGAAACATTTTCTCTATTATTTAAGTTTATACATCTTTACTACATTAATGGTTTCTGCTTTGAAAATTAAGTATAATATTCATTTGATTGCAATAGGTTATATTCATCACTATGAGTATTTTTGAATTCATAATAAGGAAAAAAGGATGCATTTTTCTACGAAGTACGAAAACGTTTGACTCACCCTTGTAAATATCAAAGAGGAAAGAGCTAAAACAAGAAAAAATTGGAGCTACCCGACTGTACATATCATCAACATCATCATCGAACGCAAACTCCTTTTCTTCAATGCTACTTATTACAGTCAAACCTCATTATTTCACTATTCATGCATTTCTCTTTCTTTTGATGCGGCGAGCAAAAGAAAAATCAATGTTTCTATCGCTCCTGTTTCTTTGCTCACGTCTCATTATAGAAACATAACTGTAGAACCTTGAAAGGCTACTTCTGCATTGACGAGAGAAATCGAATCGCATGCAAAACAACATCATTCATTCGATGTTGCGCTTCCATTTTATCGTCAAGTATTCATCATTGGTAGAAGGCTTTTTCTTTTCAAGCGACAGCTTACCTTATTTTCTTCAAAATCATTTGCACATATGAATCATCGGCTGTTCTAAATTTTATACTGAAATTATTGCTACTAATAATGCATCTATACGATTATTGGTATTGATTTCTAAGAGGAATCGATTAAACACCACCAAGATGAAAAAACTGATTATAGATAGCGATGACATTTTCGAATTTATTTCTAGATATCTGTCATAGTTCTTAATGACTTTCAATACTTGAGGATGTGGGTGCGTTAAACACTCAATAAATTTTAGATCCGAAGTAGAGTACGACATGTTTCGACTGTTTCTTATAGGGAATCATCATTTTGAATCTTTAGAACATAATAATGCAATGTGACGTCTAAGTTATATTAAAAGAAACTCATAAAATATTCAAAATTCTTAAAGTCAAAGTCGCAATCCAAGAAAGCTAACTAGGATGATTAAAGGTGTGTCAAAGTTACTGCAATACCATACACTTCGTTGATACTGAAACAATCTTAACCAGTAGCATGACGATATCAGTTTGATGGATGTAAACATTTTCGTGGAAAACTTTGAATAAAAAAAAATGAATAACATTTTCCTATCAAATTAATCATATTGTTCGATAAATTATTGATGGCATGGAAGAGGACGTTGTTGAATACAAAATTGTTCAAGTTTAAGTGAGATTGTTCATGATTTCGGTAGATGTAGATTGCTCGAATGAAAGGTATAATTACAGTAGGTGCTGTTGTCGTATATTCGGTAATATTTCTATATTGATCATGCCATCGATAGAGAGTTTTTGCTATACTATTGTGATCTATAATGAAAAATCTAAGACGTATATGGAGAATTAAAAAAATATGGTAACGAATTAAGTCATTTAAGAGAAAATGGAAATTAACAAATCAAATCAAATTTATGATGATTGTTGTTTCGATTATTTGGATTCATATGAGCTCTTCAGTTTTTGTTTCAAAAGTGTATCCGAATCACCTTCCTGACGATAATCGGGAAGAAGCGTAGTTTTTGTTCTACAATCGGCGATGTCCGTGAAAGAATGATAAGTACTATTAATAGTAACGATCAAAACGCTCAATCGAAAAAAATGGATATCTTAAAAAAGAAGAAAAGAAATAAGTAGAAAATAATTATCATGTCTTTCATATTCGTTCAAGACTAAAGGACTTTCCTATTTAGTTTCTATTTTGTATATAGAGAAACAGAAAAGTCTGTCCCATCGCACTGAGAAAGATAATTATTTATCTATAGGACGCACTCCTAGAGACAGAATTTCGTTTTCATATCCGAACAGACAAAAAACATTTTGTAAAGTATTTTAAATAGATATCCAGACAAATCAAACTGATATCGCTTAGATTAATACCTAACAGAGAGAGAGAGAGAGAGAGAACCAGAAAAATTGTGCATTTGATAAAAATTTCAGTTCAATCCAATGTATTGATCCTAAAAATATGTTGCATTATACGGAGAAATGCAGAGGAATATTTCTCATCAAATTCTCGACCTCACTCAACTCAAACAGACACCTGTAGATAAATCATTCAAAGTTGCCACTGATCTAGCGGATATTATTGAGATTTCTAAAAACATCTAATGCGTTAATTATAGTGAATGGAACGCAAAAATATTGGAAAAATACACACCTAACTTATCGAAAGTGAAAGAAACCGCTAAACTTCATGGGATTATTGCCATATATGACGGGAAAAATTTTTAAATGGTTTCCACTGATAATAAAAAATTGTTAAGAGTGAACTTTTGAGCAAAGTAATGGCATACGATAGTTTTCACTGGTAGCGCTCATACAGTAAATACAAGTAAACAATTTAAATCTACTAAAATGCAGATATTTTATTAGATTACATAAATTTAAAACAAAAAGTGAATGCGATCGTCTGAATCAAAATGTTTTATCCTAGTGTATATACATATGTGACATTAATTTGATCACACAAACCTCTCAAAGCGACTTTCTCAATTTTCTCCAAATAGTGTATTTCTTAAGGGTTTTTAGTCTTTTCGAGCATATTCCAACTCAATAACGTACATTGGGACCTATCAACTAATGAATCCAGCTCCTTCTTTCGAGCTGATATTTCAGGCTATTTTTGTCAATAAGTCTCAGAATAGAAAAAATGAGATCAATACAAACAGATCTCGGTCTCCTAACACTTGTTTGCTAGGAAATTTTTATCTTCTACTCAATAAACAATGGACAATAACACCGACAGATGAAACCTCAGGTCAAGACCCATTTACTATAATTCAGCGAACATTTTTCTTTTTCCTTCTGTCTAAAAACTTCTGTTGCTATTGACTCAATTTGTATTTTTTCTCCTGATTTTTAATTCTACTTCTTGATTCTTATTTTTGTCGATTAATTTAATAAAATTACATTTATATAATATTCTCTTTTACTTTTGATTGAAGCGATTGCTGAAAATCAAGAGTTGAGATTAACTGATTGATTTAACTAAAATTCAAACAACCGAATATCAACGAATTTAATAAAAATTCTTCGTGATCTTTTCACGATCATAGCATATTTATGGAATCTAAAATCATCTGATGATGGCCTTTAAATAAGATCAAAATCTAGATCATGGTTTGCTCGGCACGCCCTAAACGTTTTTTATGAAAAAAAATTTCATAAAAGCCAGTAACAAAACTATTCGTTTTGAAAGAATAAGATTAATTATGATGCTATAATAAGCTCTATTACCCAGCACTTCTGTAAAGTATCTGCGGAAGTCATATTGTCACAAAAAATATTCCCATGGAACAATAAAGTCATCCCATCCTATGGGATTATGAATTTATTCCATTCGGAGCTCCGATAGAACGAAAAAGAAATTGTGGGAAAGTATCGTGTCTCGTTTGTTATTTAGCACAATGTATGTCAATTTTCTCCCACATAGAACTCTGGCATATATAAATATCATTTGTACATTGTAAATATATACAAAACTAGTTATATATACTCCTATCAGCATCGCTATCGCATTATCAAAGTGGTAAGTTTAAATATTGTTTCTTTCGGGTACAATTTATAATTGATATTAATCATTTTAGAATAAATGAAATTAAAAAATCCATAAAAAAGCATTAGAGAATTTTAGTACTTCAATATCAATATTTATCAGTATTTTTGATATTAATTAAGAAGTTACCAAATCAACTGTATAATTCTTTGTCTTTCTTCTCGTGTATAATTTTTCGAGATACGATTTTGAGTTCTTGATATAAATCCAAATAGTTGTTTGAGTGACAGATTGATGACGTTTCTGTCACGATTCTTCATGGAACAAAGCATACATAGAGAGAAGTCGATTTTCTGAATCCATTGTTGGTCTAAAATTATCATTGCAATGGTCAATAAAATTTATTTTAAACAAAATAAATGATTTAAAATCTGGAGAAAATTAAAAACTTTTTCAATAGTAGAGAACTGTGTCACTGCTAATCTTCAAACGAGTGTCGTAGGATAAACCAAGAAAAATATAAATTAGAAAATCAAGCCTCGCGCTTGAGTCTTTAAATTAAGTTCTACAGTTTGTATCAGCTCTGACTCGAATCTTATATAATACAAATCCGACTAAAAAAAGCAATGGTTAATACGAAATTCATTTTTCAAAAACGTTCTCTGAATGTACATAAATAGATGCTGATACAGATTTATCCAATATATTTTGTGTATTATGATGCCTTATTATTTCATCATAATGTACTCATGTATGTTTCTTCCGAGAAATAGTTTTCACCTCGAGTGAAAAGTTTTTATGAGAAAAATATTTCTACGGTAAAATAGCTATTTTATCAACTTTACCATTCTAGAAACATCTTCTATTTTTCAACAACGAAAAGATTGCACCATGTACTATTTGGTAACTTTGCTGACTCTCTGTCTTTTCTATTATGCATCAACAACAAACGGGATGTATATTGAACAACAGCAAAATACGAAGATCAGGAATAAAAGAGGTAAGCATTAAATCGAAATTTAGCATGAATCATTTCTTTCGTTGGAAAAATTGAATAATATGCAGCCAATCTCAAAGAGCAAACGATTTATTGTCTTCTAACATGCGTAGTAATCTATGCCACTTAGATGCTTTACTCGATTTTAATTTCCTGTGAGCAACTTCTGCAGTCATGCTTTAGTATTTTTTCTTGTCCTGTTACATGTTAGTAAATTTATCATTTTAATTTAAAATATTCTTTTAAGAAGCAAATATGTAACAGTGTACTCAGATTATATATCTCATTCTTGCTCTATATTATTCTCCATAGAAGATAGGGTTTAAAATGATTATGATCGTGACTTGATAGTGGGGATTGTCACAGATTGTTTGATAATAGTAGAATCACAATTAGCTATTGTTGGAGTGATGAGAAAGAATGTGTTAACGAGAGACTACGCCAAGGCTACCTTGAGATGAACAGGATCATATATGCTACAATCCACAACGATCACTTCAGACCAACCCTAAGTAGTTTGTTGCATGTGAGATGTATAATCCATTGCAAAATCGAAGAGATCGTCAGTGTTGGTGAAATATCGTGGGAACAGGCGGAGATAGGAATATGAGATGTAGGTTATAGCAAGAAACATTGATTGATCAGAAGTCGAACAATCAGGTGAAAGTGCAATGGTATTATCCGGAAAAACTTCAGGTAGATCCATAGGCGGCGAAACGCTTCTAATTTAGGAGAGACTCAAATTTTTTTTTGAAAACAACGACAGAAAGTCGGCATTAGAGGGAGGAGGCAGAGTTTTAAATTTCTTGGTTATAACTTTCATTCAAAACATTTTCTTCACTGGCCCATTTGCGCACCTTTAGAGCACTCGAGAATTCTGCTACACTATCAAAAATTTTATTTCATTATCAACATAAGCATACTAAATATTAAACCTTGACTAAAGCAAATAAAAAAGTCTTAAGTACAAGAACTATTATTCATGCCCAAAATTGGCTTTTCTACTATGATTTTTTGCAATAAAATCAACAAATGCTGTTCAAGTCTAACTGATCTAATTTTTCTTTATGTTGTTGTGTCATTGTTGATCGTAGCCGCCTTCATCTTCATAAAGAGGCACTAACATTAATAAGTGAAAATATTTCAAAACATGCAGCATACACACCCGCAGGCTGAACATTACTTCGGAGAAAAAATAGCATCGCTTTTCTAACTGCTTTCACTTATGAAATATAGAATTACGATGAAATCAGGATTTATTTTCAAATAACTGAACCTCACCAAACCTTCCCATTTGATTTTTACTGGAAGCATGAGCCGCCCCACCCCCAGCCTAATGGTTCCGCCGTCTATGGGTAGGTCTAATATAAGTGTAGGATGTCGAATTTAAATAGAGCCATTTGGTAGGAAATAACTGTGTTTTCGTTCGATCTACGTGATATCGAATTGATTAGCTTATTTTGTTTCGGATATCTAAGCGCTGTCAAGAAATCCATAAGTTCGCTCTGAAACCTTTTCGCCATGAAGTCTTCAACTACGCCAATTTAAACAAAGAGAATTGTAGGGCAAAATCTCACCAGTGTATGGAGTTTTTAAATAACTATAATCTTGCACAGTATCTATGAAGGAACTACAGTATTTTAGAAATCACATACGTCGCCGTTACGTTATGTACTGCAGTCGTGCCATAATATCTCTGTTTTATATATGTTTTCTTTCTGTTCTGTTCGGTTAGATATATTTTGATTTTGTGCTTTCAGGTTGTTTGAAGCAATGAATTGCACGACCGCTGAACGCAGCTTCGCGAATTAGTCTTACCCTGAACTCTACTTTACCTGTAGAATTTGAACCAACTGTTTCTAGACAAAGTATTTGCGCATTTTTTCTCACATGAGAGCATTATAGAAGAATTAAAATTGCGAGCCAGAATAATAATCAGTGCTTCTTTCGAATATCGGTTCGACACCAAAAAAGAATTCATTTTGACAGCAAAACAAAAGCTTTACGATTTTATCGTAATTTGAAATAGCAAATTTTGTAGAGAAGAATTAACTCAATAATCAGTTATAGAAACCAAATCCTTAGTATCGAATTTTGATTCTAGATAAGTACAAAATATAGGGAAATATTTTGGTCATAACTAATTCTTACACTGTTCTAAAGATAACTGCACTACATGCCCAAAAAAACGAATATGAAATTATTGAAACCCGTATTTGAAAAGAACACATCATTCTGGTTGGAATCTTTGCAACTGAGTCAAAAATCAACAAAACTTTCGTCTAGAAACGATCCGTCCGCACCCTTATGTACAACAAACAAAGCTAACCAATGTGGTATTGGTTACATTGAAAGAGATCACAAATTTTTAATTAAATCATTCTCCAAATTTTACATAAATATCTCAAAAACTTGCTTTTTATAGATTCCGTATCATAGTTTTTAAAAGCTCACTCATCGTCAGCATAGTGTCACGGCGTATCTTTTCTTAGTGGAAACGTTTCACACTGAATAGATTTTATTCATATAGCTTTCTAATACGAAAAATAAACAATATACTTTTAGATAATGTCTTATGCTTGAAAATTATTTTTAAAACTAAAAATGAGCAGTTTAATCATCTAAGTCACGATAAGATCAAATTTTATCTATTTCATCCCATTTTGACTGTTTGAAGGACTAAGTTTCACTAAAATAACCTAGAACACGGCGTGCACCTCGAAGATAGTCAAAGTTGTGCTTGTGAGATTTTTGAGTTCGATTATCTGGGTGGCCACTATACTATTCGAGTTTAAAACTAGCAGACGGAGAAAAATACATTTTCCCATCATCGAGATTATGATTTATTAGGAATTGGAAAATATTATGCTTTTAATCTTTCTTATCTATCAGTCATCTAGTTCTCTATGAGGCATTTTTCTAGAACTATCTTTTTATTACATTCGTTTCAAAATCTATCTGACAAAGTAAAATTTTGACGATTAATCGAAGATCCCAAGCGACCGTCGCGTCAGTCAAAAGATCTAGTGGAAAATTTACTTTTATAACAATTCATATTAGTATACTAACAAAGTTTTGAGTTTTGCAGATACCAGTTAGAGGTAAAATATCATATTCCATTATGTGGACTGTAAATAGAACGGTTGTAACTGGCAAATTCTGAGTCGATTTTCGGAAACATGCGGAACCCTTTTACAATAACAAAATGAATCATATTCATCATGTCTTCCTTTCGTCTCACTAATAGATCATGAAGGTTCAAGATCGTTATTTCATGGCATGAATACACTAGAGAAGGAAATATTCACACTTATTAATAATCACCGTCAACAGCATGGCTTACCAGCACTTCAACCGTCTGTTAATCTTGCCTATGTTGCTCATACACATGCCATGGATGTTGTTGAAAATAATCCCGATGTTAACGGTGGTAATATGCATAGTTGGAGTGATAAAGGAAAATGGAAACCGGTTACATACACATCTGATCATAGGTATGCTTCATTAATGTGGAGTAAACCATCAGAAATAAGCAATTATAAATTCAATGGGTTTGAAATATCATTTGGTTATGAGAAGAATGTAAGAAAAACAATGACATTGGATCCAAATAGAGTTGTCGAAAGTTGGAAAAATAGTCCAGGACATAATGATGTGATGGTTCAAGGCGGTGGTTTCAGCCATATGCCAATGAAAGCGATGGGTGCTGGTGTTTATAGAGGATACGCATGTGTATGGTTTGGCCATGAACTCGATACATACTCAGCTCCCAACGGAGCACCAAATGGTGAGTGTAAACGTTTCTTATTTTTTTAACAATAGTTAATTTTGCTTTGGAAAGACCCGCTAGTCAGCTGTTACGGAGGGCATCTTGAAAAATAGTTTATTCGTGAACTTAAAGATGTGGTTGGATATTTACGAAACAGATACATTCGCACTCACATCCATCTAGTAGTATTTTTCTGGAATGTTCAGGTTTTCATGATGTATACTGCTAGGAGCACCATTTACCTATTCCATAGTCTCTGCTCCTTTTAACATGTAACTTTCTGATGTAGGTAATGATCCAACTGAATTTTCGGGTACCTACCAACTTCTTAATGTTCAGTCGAACAAAGTTCTCGATATCCATGGTAAAGGTACAGATGATGGCACCAATGTTCAAATCTTTAAGAATCATGGCGCCGAGAATCAAATTTGGGTCATCAANTATACTGCTAGGAGCACCATTTACCTATTCCATAGTCTCTGCTCCTTTTAACATGTAACTTTCTGATGTAGGTAATGATCCAACTGAATTTTCGGGTACCTACCAACTTCTTAATGTTCAGTCGAACAAAGTTCTCGATATCCATGGTAAAGGTACAGATGATGGCACCAATGTTCAAATCTTTAAGAATCATGGCGCCGAGAATCAAATTTGGGTCATCAAAGCAAATCATGACGGTACCGTCAAACTGATTAATCCACACAGTGGAAAGGTTTTGGATGTGTCCGGAAGTGGTACTTCCGATGGTACTAATGTCCAAATCTTTACAGACAATGGATCAAATGCACAAAAGTGGCATGTTCAAGGTGTTGAGGGTGGAAAATATAAATTGATTAACGTAGGATCTAGCAAGGCTCTAGATGTGACAGGTAGTGGAACGTCAGATGGTACAAATGTTCAAATGTGGTCGGACAATGGTACGCCAGCACAACAGTGGCAATTGATTCGGTACAGTAGTCAAAGTTAGTGTTGCCATTATTGAAAAAATCTCTATATAAAACTACTTTATGGGGCACGTTATGGTGTGTCACTTGCCACGTACTAGCAACAGTCATTAGGAAGAAAGAAATATACATGTACCTTTTCAGGTGTAGGATGAGACAAAACAAAACAAAATATCTTCAAAAGTTAGAATATACAGCTCCCATCATTGATTGATTACTGGATCTTCGGTAGATAATCCTCGAGTGGGTTTTGATTATCTAGGTCATCTGTATGCCATTGACCACATCAGAAACGGGATTTCGTAATTTTTCTGGTGTGATTTTGTATTGATTGCTTCATTTTGTGGTGCAAGACCGAACTTGTTTTCGTAATGTCCTGTCGTTTCTTTTGTTTTTTTTACAACTTCAGGCATACCTACTTGTTTTGTCAAAATGTTTATCTAAGACTTCAATAATTTTAGGTAGTGATTTTCATTAACTAAGCTTTGACCGATTTAATCTTCTCGTATCCGCTGCATTCTAATATTCACGAATAAGTTGTTCAATTTGTCGATGTGCAGCAGCTGTTTTCATGCTAATATTAATGGTTTTCCGGCATGCCTCTTCTGTAACTATTAATGTTGAGTTTTGGTACATCATCGTCAATTTAGCTGATTTCAATCCAATTATTGTGCAACAAAATCCAATCTGATTTAACCCAAACTTAATGATATTGCTAGCCCGGTGGAAATTAGTTTGATTAAATCTGATTGTTCTGTAGCACAATTCGAATTATCCATCTATTGGCAAGTGGAGTTTACTTGAAAATAATCCTATTTCAATCAAACTAATTTCCACCGAGCTAGCAATATCATTAAGTTTGGGTTAAATGATAGTCGATTAAAATTAAAATTATCAATCCAATTGCAGATTGGATTTTGTTGCACAATAATTTGATTGAAATCAGTGAATATTTTTCACTGGGTAGTTGTAATATTATTTGATTTTATACTCTGTTTCTTAAGTTCAAGTCAACTGTACTCCTTGAGCATTTCATATAATAATTATCGATTATTTTCTCTTGAGTCTCTACTAAGGGCCACACTTCATTTCCGTATAGCAGAATCAGCAGCGCAGGCCTGTACTAAATTAAATTTCTAAGCACGTTGAAACAGTGTGAGGGTTTGAGCGTAGACATCGGTGTCTGAATAATGATGCATATTCTGTTCATCGATACCTCATGAGAAAAGACGGTAATGTTTTCAACGTACATCGATACAGCTAGAAAAAATGGAAAAGAATCTAATGACTTCATGTATAAAATATGGCAATATTTTGCTTGTTCAAATTGCTGCATATGTATGTACACGCAGTATTAAAAAATACTCCAATAGTTATGTGCTTGCCATTACTAAATAGTGCTAATAAAACGCTACAATCGTAATTTCTGATGAGATGTAGTAGAATTTTTCTGGATTAACGTTTCTAGAAGTTTTCTCAAAGATGAACTTTTAGATCTCCAAGATTTATACTGCTAGGAGCACCATTTACCTATTCCATAGTCTCTGCTCCTTTTAACATGTAACTTTCTGATGTAGGTAATGATCCAACTGAATTTTCGGGTACCTACCAACTTCTTAATGTTCAGTCGAACAAAGTTCTCGATATCCATGGTAAAGGTACAGATGATGGCACCAATGTTCAAATCTTTAAGAATCATGGCGCCGAGAATCAAATTTGGGTCATCAAAGCAAATCATGACGGTACCGTCAAACTGATTAATCCACACAGTGGAAAGGTTTTGGATGTGTCCGGAAGTGGTACTTCCGATGGTACTAATGTCCAAATCTTTACAGACAATGGATCAAATGCACAAAAGTGGCATGTTCAAGGTGTTGAGGGTGGAAAATATAAATTGATTAACGTAGGATCTAGCAAGGCTCTAGATGTGACAGGTAGTGGAACGTCAGATGGTACAAATGTTCAAATGTGGTCGGACAATGGTACGCCAGCGCAACAGTGGCAATTGATTCGGTACAGTAGTCAAAGCTAGTGCTTTTATCTCTGAGAAAATCTGTTATGTAGTATTATGTTCTCTCTTCTCAGACTTGTGTTTTTCTTCACTCCTATCATTCTATTGACATTTATGTTATTTTGTTTGCACTATGTATACTTATATTATTCTCTTGTCTTTTTATATGTGACAGATGATATTTCCTTCTCGTATATCATCACTTACGAACTACTCTTTTCTATGGGATTTTCCGCTTGCTTCTCTCTATTATACAGTAATTGATTTTTACAATAAAATTGAAGAATTAGTGGACCAATCTTGTAACGATTATTATGTTTCACTTCACATGATGTTGTGGCTATGACTGTACCTCTTTGTGCACGCGTGTGTTCAGTATTCATGTCTATGAACAGCTATAGCTATAACATACATATCTTCTCCTTCAGATTCAGACTATCACCGACAATAGGAACCAGAAAACCTTTGGAAGGACTGCAAACGGTCGAAAATCTCAGTCGAAAATCAATCAAAAACTGGTAATAAAGACTTCGTTCCAATCAGCGGAGTGATTAACCAAGATATTATCGTATAAATATATTTTTCAAGAATTGATCTATAGTTGAGATGAGTCGAGGGAGTTGACCGGTCGAATTTTAATATCAATTTTTAATTAGATAATTGGAAAACGATTGAGTTTTGGAGCATGGGAGTGTGATGTTGGTGGTGATGGTGAGAGAAATGTGTTTAGGGATAAATTGGCATAACAACGAGCTTCACTGATAAATGATATTTTATTTCAACTAATGGATTGATGTTCAAAACGATCTTAGCTTTACAATCTCGATTCTGAGATGAAATAAATTTCGTCGTTTTTGTACGTTTTTCAATATAGATGTAACCTTCTTCGAGCATCGCCACTTTTTCTTTTATAGAAAACAGTTTTTCTATTTGAGACATTCTGTTTGAAAAGTAGTGCGTAGTAAAAGTTGAAATTGAGAAGTGAAATGTATGTTTTTTTTTATTTGGTTTGATCCCATAATTAAGAATGTCGGATCAGTGTTATTTTTAGTTTAGATTACACTGAAATTCATGAAGCGAGCGACAAATCTAATTAGTCCTCATTGACTTTAGCACTGGCATAATTGCATTAAAATAATATTTTTTATTGATCCTTTTAGCCAATTAAAATTATATGTCTTAGCGTAATTAATTATCTATTGCTATTGTACACATCTCTTGCAAATTTTCATTTATTTTATGTTATTTCCATTGGTTCTACACACAAAAAGAATTCATTAAGAGAGATGCGACATATAGATAGGGTCGAACAGAACGGAAAGAACTTTTCTGCGACGAAGTGATCGTGCAGCGATGTGTACTAGTGCCCGAAAGAGAGACAGTGGAAAAGAGAAGAAAATAGTGAAACATACAGATTTAAAGAAATGCAGCGCTATATAAATGCTATACGTTAGAAGAAATCATGTAAAACGCTAATGTATCGTCTCTCTTATTTGATCGACAAGAACAGTGATGGGCCGTAACTCTAACGTCCAAACCGTAAGAACGAAAGAAAATGTCTGACGACTAGTGAGTACGTAAGACGTAATTTCCTTTCCTTTTTTCACTAGATTACGGAATAACGTAGCTATACGTTGTTGCTATGCTAATGACGGTATTCGTAATTTCGTGCAGAAAGGAAAGGAACATTACGCCTTGCATAAGCAATAGTCGTCAAACTTTTTTTTTCGTTTTTACGCACTTCTAAGGCTTTGCACGTTAGAGTTTCGGCCCATCACTAGATAGGAACGATAGGTATATCGTCTCTATTATTTGATTGATACGGACGATAGGCATATCATGCTCTCTTCATTTTGCGTAGAAGGATAAATGAAAGTACTTTTCAAGCAGCAGAAAGAAAAGAAAAAGCTAAATTATTTCAAGTGTTTATAAAAGAATTGACCTACTAGTAAACATTAGGTATCCACGAGAGAGCCTACTTTTTCTATTCGTTCAGAAAGGGTGTGGGTCTTCTACTAATTAACGCTTCCACAGCCACCCATGCGCACACCCTCAAGTTTTACTATAGAAATGACTCACTAGCTTGTGCTGACAAAGAAATAGTATTTATTACAAGAACAGCAGAGATGAACAGTCTTGAAAACCAGAAAGTCGTCAGAAAAATTTCTGAAAATCACAAGCTCTGGCTACGATGAATACGGAGGTGGCGGGTCTATAATATTTTTCACCATAGTGATTCTCGTACTAAAATGTTTAGCCATCAGTTGTTTCACAACTTCGTTCGTCTTATCTCGATCAGCTTCGCATTCCTGCAACTTTGCTTTCATTCCTGCCAAGATGTTCACCAAGAGTGTATCCGCGCGTGAGATACGATTCGATGCTTCGTGAATCATTTTTCTCATACTCATATCGGTCCAAATATTGTCGAACATGATATTAAAAACAAGGTTGTTCTGATTAATATGTAGATCACCAATATCTAAAATTTTCGGATACACACGCTTTGCTTCATTTATGAATCGTTGTGATTGAGCTGCAGCATTTCTAGCTTTAGCCAGGTGGGAACTCTCTGCGATTTCGGCAAAAGCGGAATGAGAAAACAAGTCGAAAGTGTTCATATCCAGTGAATGGTCGAGTTCTCGGCGGGCAATAGTGATGGTATGATGGGCATGTTGCAGTAAGTAAATAGCGTTGTTCAAAACGCAGTGATTAATACATAGGGTGTTTAAATGCTCTTTTTCCCTTTTCAGATTCTGTTCCATTGTGTCTTCCTCGGGATAAGAAGGTGTAACACCGGAAAAGAAATGTTCCAATAGTCCTTCCAACTCTCACTTGGTCTCTAAAAACTCTTCATAGGAGCGTTGACACTGGTGCAAATGTTTCTCAGCAGAGCATATTTCTTCATTCAGGACTGCCAAATGATGTTCTTCTTCTTTGTATTTCTCAAACTCTTGCAGCCATTTCCTCTCTTGTTCTTCCAAACGATGCTCTAGCTTGCCTCGAACTTTGTACCAAACGTGTTTAGCACCATGTCCCTTCATGTCGACCAAACGTTTGTGCTCTTTTTCGCTTGCTGCGTTAAACGTAATAATCTTTTCTTGCGCGAGGTGAGCCTGGCTTCGACAAGCCTCCACGTGAGACTTTGCTTTTGGTAATGCCGCTTCGCTCCATTGCGTATCAGATAAACGACCAAGTAGAGTTTGAAATCGTTCACTTTCCTGTTGTATCTGTCGCTCAAGTGACATGACGTGATTTTCTTTCTTTCAGAACGCTTGATTAAATATTATGGGTTTTTTATCCAAAATAAATTGTTAATCACTCAAAGTCTGCTTAGTAATGTGGCCTTAGGATAAATTGCTTGTTCTATCGTGGTAGTACGTAGGTGCGTCCCTTGTTGCTCTTTGTATTTGTAACCACTGCGTTATAGGAGAAGCTTGAGATGGCACTTGAAAAGAAATGCCATGTGAATTCAAAAAATGTATCAGGTAAAAGCAATCTATAATGGGTTCTATTCGTAGCCAATCATGAAAACAGTGAATTAATTTTCAAAGACAGAAAAGATATTATCAAAAAGTAATAAATCGATGTAACAGCAAATATTGTGCACTCTTTTGCGTTTAAAGTAAATTTCAGAGATATGTGACCAATACCGTTCAAACAGCCCTAGTTCATCGTAATGGAGTAACTCTCGCAACATTATTCATTTAAGTTGGAGAGTACTGTAACAGAAACTTTATCTATTCTTCTTCAGCTCCATGTGAATCTTCTAATAAATATCTAGGTCAATCTTTTTTCTTCCTGTCTTCTTCCTCGCTTCTTTTTGTTCTCCCTTTAGTAAGAATCAATTCAATTCTTGTTTGTTTACACCTAAATTGTACTGATCAGTCGAATAAAATTGAAGATGCATTCGCTTCCCTTATGTTAAATAAAGTTAAGTATGCAAGTAGGACGTTCTAGATCGTTCTCTTTCTTTTCTCTTGAATCGTCTCGCTGTGCTGTTGTTCTTAAAGATTAACAAAAAAAGAATATACTTGGGATCCAAAGCGATTAGTCAATTGTCATAAAGAACAAGAAATTAAAGGCACAGGCTCTGTAATAATTTACTATTTATTCACTTCAGTTTTCAGTGAAGAAGAACAACCGCTCAAACAGCACTAGCCGCACATACCTTGTTCAGAATGAATAGTATATCAATTTGTCTCTATGGCTTTTCTTACTGATCAATAAGTGTGTGTTATCGTTGTGTATTTTTCGCATGTGCATAGTTATTACACGACTTACGTTTTTCATATAGAGATGCGCGTCACGGATGAATAATACAATAGCAAAAGAACGGCAATGCTGTTCGTTTGATACATATCGCTTATGATTGTGCCTCAGAATTATGATGCACACGCCATGTGTATCCTTGAGTGTGTGACGCATTATGAAGCAGAAAAAGAGAAGCAAAGACAATGAATAATGTGCGCGAAATAAATCTTGGTCTATGATTACAAAAAGCAAAAAAATCTAGTTCAGTGAAAATAATCAGTTCACCGTATTCGAAATCTCTTCGCTCAAGAGTATCATCTCATCATTTGACAAAGTTAAGCCTTCGGCCAGGGATGTCCCGAACGTTCCTGGATGCGGGGGCGGGGGCGGGAATCATAAAATTTTAACTAAGTAGTATAACTTTTTTCTATAATTTCCGTGCAATTTATTTAAAGAAGAGAAAATGTTTACTACGCCTTCAGAACATTTACAAATACAAGAAGATTATACTGAAAAATTCACAGACTTCACACAACTTTTACTCCTCTGTTTTTCATTGTGGACCAGTCCTTCAGCAAATATTAGTAAGTCACTAATTTTTTCATTTTTTGATGCTGATCTTACATTGTTTTTCAGTATTTACTTTTTCAACAAAATGATTTATGTGAAGTATCATACGCAGACTTGCCAAGCAGGTGAGGGTGGAGGCTACCCCCAACAAAAGTTGAAAACATGATCAACTTTCTGTGAAAATTTTTAATGCTTTTTGCGAAATTTTAAAAAATCTAATTAGAAATTCTGGCGAAAATCCGGTTTTTTAGCATTATTCCGCAGTTTTCTGAAAAAACCGAATAAAATCATTTTTTTTCAACAAAATATCGCTGAAAGTCGATAAATTCAGCATTATTTTCTCAGCTACTTCCTAAAAGTGAGATGCCATTTTCTGCGGAATTTTCAGCTCCCACTACTGGTCAAAACAATCGGCAACCCTGATCATACGAGAAGAATCTTTAGTTACCTTTTCAGCACCAATGCAGAGTAGAAATATTATTGATGCTTACCTTCTTTTTGTGTAATGACATCTACACAGGAATGTTAATCGTTCAGTGTTTGGCTAATATCACTTTATCATGTCTAATGTGCATTTACTTTCGATCTAGCTTTTCAAAAACAGAATTCTAATTTTTTCAATTTTTTTTCGGTTTCTTCAAAAACTTTCTGTATGTTTTCTTAATGAAAAATTCTTATGATTGGGAGGAGGGGTGTCTTGTCCCCGGGATCGAGGCATATCTGGATGTATTCTACAACAATGTGGCATAATGAATAGTAGTGGTTCGGTGAAAAAGACAAAAATTTTCGTCCCTAGAGATGCTTTTGTTTTTGAACTCTATCTCGGTCTCGTTTGATTTATATGAACAGACTATATGATGATGTTCAATATTCATATTGTAAATTCCATATGTTTTAATGTTAATTTTAAGAATTAAAGACGAAATGGCTGTAAACTGAGTTAGTCAACAATCAACAACAGCAATAGCTAGAAATTTGTAGTATTACAGGAATATAAAGAAGAGATAGCTGAACGTCAGTTTATCCAAAAACAGTTAAGAGAGTTTGAACTAGTTAAGACACTCATTTATATCTAGTAATTGCTATCCACTCCCACCCATTCCTATCCATTCGAATGACTGGAAATGAGCTTTTCCTCTCGAAAACTCCTGTTGATAGTGTCGAAAAATGCAGTAAGAAAACACCCGTAGACGATGTTTGTTGTAGTGTCGAATACTTTACTCGGTATAGGATACTCAGAAATGCTCCGTAATTTATCTGTAGGTAAACTGAATATGAATATCAGTATATTAAAAATGAAGTCTCTCCGTAAAGTTATCGTTTTTACACTATTTACTGCCGTATACGGAGCGTATCGAACGCCGTGAGTAGCTTTCTGTTATTTTTAATCGAAAATTAATTCGGTTACCATCGTTTTTCCTTTTCTTTACATCTTATTTGAAATCGGAAGCTAATAATTGAAGTGGAATTCAAAATTTTAATAATACTTATCATTCAAATAAGAAATTCAACTTTTTTAAGAACCAACAAATCGTTCTTTTTATGGCTCATGCTCTCTTACAAGCTTTGATGAAGTTTTGCATCTGTTTGCCTATGTACTCAAAATACAATCTTTTTCTTATTCAGGTGTAAATTCAACAAAAAATTTTTTGTTTACATACTTTCTCTTTCTTCTTATTCGCAAAGTCAATAAAAATACTTGTGCCATGCGGCACCACTTTTTCACATTTCTATGAAACGATAAATTTTTCCAAGATCTCATACTTTCCTCGGAATCGGTATGCATGGTTTTGAAGAATCCTTTTTTCTTTGACCGCTGTAATCCGCACAGAATTCAATTCAACTATGAACAAAGGACAATACTATTTACTCAAATATATTGAGGATGCCAGAGATACTGTAAGCAATTATCATGACAAGCATTTGGACAAATTCTGTCGATTATTGATGGATGAATTGTTATTCTAAGTCAAAGATATATCCTTTCGGATGATCATTAATGAATATTTACGAATGAATCTCTTATATCATGGTCTAAGACAAGTGCATTATATATTCTGGCACTATACAGCATATACAAAATTAATAAACGGGTAGACCATTTATTCATTTCATTTTCCGAATGTATGTCATCCTGATTTATACAATACATTCAATGTTAGTCCTAATCTCTTTCAAAAGTCAGTAAAACCTCGCCATCATTCAAGCGATTGGTATGTATATACAGGAGAGCTGTTACCAAAATATATTGGAGAATATTTATCTATTCAAACGATTGCTCAAGTGGAAGATCTTCCAATAACCATGTTGTTTGTCAACAAGAACGAGGAAAGAATAGATATTTATTTCTATTTTCGATCGATCAATACAAAAATTACAATGACGTTCGAACGAGGGCTTCCTGAATGATGCCAAAATTAGGAATAATCTTTTAATTGTCATACTAAAATTCTTTTCTAAAATAGAACAATTTTGACACTTTTTTTCTTTAAATGAGCATTCAACCAGGTTTAATACATGTTTTATATCTTGATACTATAGGTTTTACTCAATAATCCGAAATTTCATATGATAGGTACAGGATACTCTAAGACTCAATTTGGTTGTGGTTGTGGGTGTGCGTGGAAGTGTGTTAAGAACTCAATAAATGTTTTAGATTCAAAGCAGTATATACGACGCATTGAAAGAACTATTATAATATTTTAAAAGAGTACCTGATTTCAAAAATTGAGGGTGTCCTTCTTTTTATATATTAGATGCTCAAGATACCTGATGATGATGATGATGATAATGATCGAAACCCGTTGTATAACTGCTTTTTAATCTATCCTAATTTGAGAGTTTAATGTATCTATGCCCTCACACCTCATTTAATAGTATGATTTCGAACCTACCTAACGATGGCTGCGTAAGCTACAGTCGAAACACGTCGTATAGGATCACTTGAAATCAACAAAATTTAAACACATCTCAGAAATGGAACTGACATATTATTAACATTGAATAATACTTTAGAATCTCCACTGTTCAACTTTCAGCATATACTTCGAAATGATTGATTTCTTTTTATAGACACTAGTTTATGTCTGAATTATTCTTATATTCATCACGTATGATATTGACGTTACAAGTTGTATACCAGCAATTACTGTTGAGAATAGAATAGATGAATAAGCATCTCCGAACATCATTAATCATTCCTACAAGAAGAAAAGTGGCAATTAGCAATAAGTATTTGAGAAAGGGAACAAAATGCAGATGTTATATTTGTCGAAGTTGCATAATTATACAGCAGTGATAAAAAATAAGAGAAATATCAGGATGCAAGCATAATAACTTATAAATTCTAAGTAGAATAGTCAGAGGGAATTGCAAGCGAACATCAAAAAAGGTAAATTCCAGAATTCCAGTAAAACTAACATTG